AAAACAGGTAAAAACAACATTCGTCGCGCAAGATTCCGCAGAATCTTTGAATCGGTTGCCAGCGCTAGAGATGAAACGCAAGTCTCGCGCAAATCGAACATTGTCACGAGTCTCCCATCAACAATTTAAAATGGCCGTGCCGGACAATAGGGTGGCTCCAACCCTCACGGTCAATTAATCCGTTCGGTTTCGGACAAGTAGCATAAAATTAGTCCTGATGGCAGGTTCGCGCGCCGCGGCCATATTATCGGAGGCAATTTCCCTCGCTCCAGGGATTACCTGCCAATCAGTGTCGCGGAACGGTCGCGTATGGCGTTTATATGATTGCCCGCTGCGCAATTCTTCCTCTGGCCCCTTCCGCCTCCTCTTGGTCCTGTTCCGGCCAATATCATCGGCGTTTCCGCGTCAACAATAATTTTCTCCACGCGTTCGGAAAGACATGCTAGTAACCGGACAGCTCTCCGGAGATTATCGCGTAACGAGTTCAATATGCGAATTGCCGAACGCGCGAAAAATCCTCCGCGACTCCGTTCTGGAGACTACTCGAATCATTGCGATGATTTGGAGCTTGTTCCATCTCGTAACGGGTTCGCAACAGATTCTTCGTGCACAAACGAAATTTACGAAAATTAACACTAAAACTACCGAACAAAATGACATATTCCTGATTTCTTTTTTTTTTGCAATTATTATAAAGATAACAAATGTTTCTCTGAGAAATTATTAAAAAAATTGACTTGACAATACGCAAACTGAATCGTAAATGAATTAAAGTCTCAATAGACGCACTCTTGGGGTTTTTATAGAGGAGTTTTGAAACGTTGATTTAACTACTCGGTAATTTTAGTGTTAAATTTCTTCCACGAATGTTCTTTTTCGGGAACATCGAGTTTAGAAATTAATTTGGGTTACATTATTCAAGAAGGAACATTTTTATACAAATTTGATAAAATGATGAATTTAGCGTTTTAACTTGAGTCGCTAAAGCTAAAGAGCGAGATTATAGGAAAATGAATTATTTAAAAAATAATAATTAACCTTCTATAAGCCCTTATGACTTTTTAATTTGTATTATATGTGTTTAAAATATCTCAATAATGAAGAATCTGCAATTAAGCGATGATCTAAAAATCCGACACACGCAGACTCTTTAAACAAAAAATAATAACACGCCGATCATGCTTGCGAACAAACAGGAACGTCGGTAAATAAAGCTTTTCGTTTATCCTGCTCCGTATTGAATATTCATCACAATAATCCGAGGGATTCAATTCGTAAATTTGAAGTTGCGCGTAACATGTCAGGCCATTCTGCGCGCAGCACCGCCGCGCAAATGTATTTTGTAGATGAGAAATGTTCGAACACATTTTTCCGAATATACGAAATTCGTTTAATGAATAAGCAGCGACTCCTTATGCGAAATAAAAATTTCCTGAAATAATTTAGGGGAACGAGGGTTAAACCAGTAAAATTTTGTTGAACTCTTAAATCTAAATTTTACTCAAGAATTTCGATACAATAAGAATCTTGATTATCCAATTTAATTGAGCGACGAATAGTTCACATGGATAAAATTTCAAGAAGAAATTGTTCGAAGCACGTTTGTACAGTTTGAGTGTATATATTCTGAGACACAATTTAAGAATCTGAATTATTGAGTTTGCGAAAAATAGCAACTCTGTTAATCGAAACCCTACTACAAGCCAAAAATAAGATAACAACATTCTTAAATTGTTAAGAACATTTTCCTATTTTACAGGAAAGTATAATATAAAAAGTCTGCCATCTATTAATAAATTATGCGATTATAAGAAGATACAAACAGAGTAACTGGTATTCTAGGAAATTACTTTTCTATGAATTCCAATTTAACTTTATTTATCATGATGTATAATTCTAAAGTTAAATATATATATGTTTATATTTTTCAAGCCTCATTTCATTCTTTATTGCTTGTTACAAGTTGGCGTAATATATTATTTATCAGTAAGTAAGTTATTTTAGTAGTTATCTATTTCCTGTGATTCTTTTTTGAAGTATGATTCATACAAATAGCAACCGATATTTTCTATACACTTGATAGTGTATAAATATAGTTGATAGTGACTCTGAGAAGGCACTAGATTAAAAGAAATTCTTATCACCGTCGTCAGTTGGTACATGTGTAGAATTATATTATGTCAAATATCTTCTTGACTCTTTATCCTACGGAGGTTTTATAAACTTTTCAAATAATTCCGTAAAAAATACATACATACATACATACGTTTTGATTAGTTTAAAAACTTATATCAATGACCAATATTTCCTCTTTCATTGTCGTAAAGCTATTTAATGTAATTATATTGTGCTCTAATTGAAATGAGAACTATCTTGAGCATAAGAATAGTTTATGGATTAACAAATTATTATTACAAAAATTGTTTGATACGGAGTAGGTCGATGTATGGTATAAATAATTTTTTGCGTTGGACTGTTCGTCTCTATTCATCTTTATTCGTATCACGATGACGTTTTTTCCGACAAATATATAGCAAATATTATAAAGATCGGTTGGTTATCATAGCATCGTGTTCTCTCTGCATCTCGAAATTTATTTCAATTTCTGTCTAATAGAAAGATATAAATGTACGGATTAATTAATAGTTCAAATTTAAAAATGCCATCATTATTCAAATGACCTCAACATTTGAGAATTAAATAAAACTTTTAATAATAGTTAACTAAACAGATAACAAATTAATACAAAATATCTCAAGTGGAAACATAAATATCAGAAATATTTATTTTCTAAATTAAAAATAAGATATTTTGGTATTATTAACACTGAACCTTTAGAATAAATGTACATTTGTAAATAATACAAGTTTCTTTTCTCGTCTGGCAAATTATAAACGAACAGTTCTGAATAACAGAATCATGAAAAAAATCATAAAGCAAGAAAGGGATTGAAGCAAACAATAAATTGATACGTCATCATTAAAGTTACATAAGAGTGATCATTTATAGCGCGTTTTATAGCCTAAAACTCTCATAAGAACAATTCGAAAGCAATAAAATGAAATAAAGATAAAACAAACATTTGGTACTTCGACCAAAAAAACAAGAAGGAATCGCTAATCATAAAAATTCGAACCTCACTATGAACTAACAATAAATGAAAAAATGTTTCATTCGGAAAGAAGAGAAAAAAGTTTTCTCGTGCGTATGTTAAATAAGATAGAAACAGTTTAATATCGAAACGTTGCTGTAACCCGTGAATATTTGAATAGTTTCATCTAGCTCGAAACGCCATTTCACTCGGTCGACTACTCAGCAAATGAGGCCGCGATTCGCGATAATTGTCAGGAGAATAAACTTAAATTTTTCAGGCTGTGGGTCGGCCCAGCATCACGGGTAAAACCATCAAAGCGATTTTACCATGTCTCTTACCTCTCTGCGCCAATGTTTGCGAGCGTGGGCGAGAGAACTTTTTAATTGGCCACCTTTAATTAGTTAACCAGCAAAGTCTCGGTAATTATTCTGTTTCTCGCTCCGTTTCCGTGCGCTAACTCTCCTCCCTCGTCTCCCCGCTTCATCTTCCGCTCATCCATCTTTTTTCAGCGCTGGGGGAGCCGCGCTATCCCTCTACACCCACGGAGTTCTCATGTTTTCGCTCGAGTTCCTTCGCCGCCATGATTAACTCCGTTCATTTAAGTTGATCGGATGAAGATGATGCGGAAATGTTAACACGTTCGCGGACGGTTTGAATTCATATAAGTAGTTGATTTGATCATTCTTCAGAAACTTCATTTCGATGCCTGTTAAGTGAATATTTTTTAGCTGAGCTTTCTTTTGTTATTGGCAATAACAATAAACGGGAGTCAAATTCTTCTATGTATAATGAACGTAAATTAGGCAGATAATTTCACATATAAGTTTTCCCATAGTATTGACTCTAAAAATTTAAGAAAGATAATGTGGTGTCTAGAATTTTCAGCGTGGTTTTAGAATATTTTTAAGAAGTGTGAAGCGAGAATCAGTGTGAGCGGAGGACCATAAAAGAGGGAAACCTAACGGCCGAGGAAAATTGGTATGCGCAACGTCGCAGGCCCAAGGTTTCCAGTTAGACTTCAAAAGGGTGTGTTTGAGAGTTTGTGGATAGTGTGAGTGAAAAGAATGATTTTTGAGTGCAAATGTCCGAAAAAGAGTCTGTGCAGTTAGAGGCGTGAGTTGGTCTTCGTGGCAGCAAGTTATGTGTCGTTTCAGTTGCGCGTTGTTAGTATATAGCTTTCTTTATTGTTAATAAACATAGTTATTTGTTAGTTTTTTATATTCCCATCTACATTACTCCATATCCACATATTTTACACTATAATAATGTGTACTGCATATGCAGTGGCGTCCCACCACTAGAACAAAGCTAAAATATTGCACACGCAGTAGACGTGCGCAAACGTGTTCACTGAACTACTGACAACTACACTTTTACCCGGTCTCATCTCATCGGACTTCTCATCAAATATCTCGAGCAACGATTCTCGTTACTGTAGGAAGGGAGATCACTTGATGGCTAGGCTGAGGAATGTGAGTCTGCTTGGTCAGTTCTCATTCTTTTTACGATGCTAATTTTCTATTCATCAACACGGTGTAATGAACCCTTTGCAATTGGAAGCTTTTTACTAGAAACATTCGACACTTTACGATGAGACATGGACAACACTATTTGAAACGAACTAATAAGAAAGCATACGTAAATTAAGAAACAAAGCTATTTTATATAAATATTTCACGTATTGATGCATTATATAAGAGTTAATATTATATGTAACACTTCGTAATTTTGTTATATCAAATCAAATGGTGACTGAGAGTCACCTCTTGAGTGCAAAGGGTTAATCAAAACTATGAGCATAACATACAGCGGAAGACCCCCTTTACTCCTGTTTTATCCCGCTGGACATCGAGTATGTCCTAATAATACTTTAAACCGTCGTTCACCGGTTCAATTTATTTTTCAGAAGGCAGCAGACAGATCGGCCCCCACGCGTGCACAGTCTGTCAGAACGTGGTCGAAGGTAGCGCGCAGAGTCGAGCCCTGCCAAGAAGTCAGGCATCCCAATATGGGCTGCGGGAAGATCAGGTAGCACCCGGTGCTCGCGTTTGCAACACCTGCAGGTGTAAAGCGATCAGGGGACGGTACACCGCGTGTCCCTTACCTGGCTGTCCGAACCTGAACAACGCCAGCTCGAAGACCAGGGTGAAACGACTGAGAGCACTACCCGCCAAATGGCTTGACCTACCCGCCGAAATTCGTGACCCGATCATCCAAGAGTTCCGTGAGTGTTGCGACACCAGTTTCTAGTCAGTTTTGCTAAACGGTTGGGCAGTTCATTTAAAAATTATTTCCCTTTGTTGTAGAAATACCTGGCAACGCGACTAAGTGTTGCTCAGCTTGCTTCAACCGAATATCGCGGCGACTGGCGCCTCACCTGACCGGCAACACCGAAGTCGCCGAGGACACGGCTGACTCGCTGGCTCGGCAATGGACGGACGAAGAATTAGAGTTGCTCAGGAGAGCACTCAGGGAACACGGCACCAACTGGTTGAAAGTTGCCGAGCAAATCCCGGAGAAGACGAATCATCAGTGCAAGAATTACTACTTTGCATATCGGAAGAAGCTCAGCCTGGATCAAATGGTTGCCGAGTATTATCAGTCTTTGGGCGAGGAGAGGAGACCTTGCTTGACGGACGAAGAAGAGAGCGGCAGCAGTACGAGCAGCTGTGACGAGCTGGCGGTTAGTGTTGAATAGTGCTTATGAGTGTTGTCGAGTCATTGGGTTCTCGATGATCAGTGATCGATTCAACTGTAACTCATGTGAAACTGGCTTTGTGCGATTCGTGTGAGCTTTTGTCAAATTCAACCACAGAGCATTCGAAAAGAAGTACTTTAAAAAGGAAGTCCCTGTCCATTTTTAAGCTTTTTGAACCATAATTCACTGCAGTCGCCCGTCAGAGGGTAACCTGAATATAGTATGGACGATTATAATTGTTCGATAAATAAGATATTATAATATGAGATAGATGATCATATATCATATAACGTTGTTGTACGAGTATAGAAGGAAATCGCTTGGAACTACTCTTACTGTATAACCGCACAAACGAAAACAAATGTGTTTTGCGAAAAGAAAATGTTCTATATATTTCCAATAAATGATTAACTTAATTTTTATATCATTAATCAATGGAAACTCATAAACGCGACAACTATATAATACAATTCGAGCGAATAGAAAAGTCGTTACATTTCGATTTCTGTTTGTAGGTTCATGACTCGAGCGACACAGCCAGCGCAGGTAGCCCAGCGAATAACATGTCGAGCGGAACGCCAGGGACACCGGGTTCTTCTACGACATTGCCTATATCTTTCTCGCGATCAACGGACCAGAAACTTGGTGATAAACTGGCGGACATTGCAGTGGTGTCGCTGGTGCCACCGGTGAGCATAGGTTCGTCGCAACAGTCTTCCACCAGCGGAGGTAGCAACGCTGCTTCAGCTGGCACTAGAGAAGACTATGATAGTTCGGCCACGGTAAGACCAAGCTTACTTTCACCTCTCACTTTACAAGGAAGCGTGGAGGGCCTTGTATTATTTTGAACGTTATTTGAACCGTCGTCTCGGTTCGTTTTCTTTTCTGAATGTTAAATAAGACGAAAGTTTGTCTTTTGATAGGGCCGTCTGATAGAGGTTCGCTGATTGTTTCAGGAGACGGCGGACGAGGGTCAGGGAGGTGCCGATTTAGATAATAGCAGCGTTGTCGTAACCCTAACCACCGCCAATAACTCGACGCCGCTTCAACAGCAACATCAACAATCACATCAGCAGCTGCCACCTACATCGCATTCGCCCCCATCAACCACCAGCAACTCAAACCCACTTACCGTTAAAGACCTTATGCTCGGCGTTATCGAGATGCAGTTGAAACGTAATCCGAATAGTCCAGCCGGCATCAGCGGCTCCTCTGTATCAGTGAATTCTGGAACGCCAACAATATCTAGCATATTGAAAACCGATCACCGGAACGACATTACCTTCGTCAGGGAATATAAACCGTCGAGTTCCATGGCAAACACTACCATGTCGAGGGATTCGAATTTGGCAACCCTGTCAGTGGTATCAAGTTCACATCACGGACATCGATCTGCTCCTAGTCCTCAACAACTTGGTAAGTCGAGTTCGGATAAATATTTGTGCGGGTTGTCACGTAGCTTAACCGGAAAATCGGACTGTATTTGAAACTTATTTCCAGGTCAAATGCAAGCAACGATTACCCCCTGCCCACCAACGGCATCAAGCAGTCAATCGTCGTCGTCGGATTTGATTCCAAAGGAGGGATTAATCGTGATGCAAGTGCAACAGGCGCTTCGTGAAACAGAAGGCACCCTTGACCTGAGTATTAAAAAACCGAGGCAACAACAAGAGTATAATCATTCCTTGCAAACGCTTCATAAGCCACCCACGGTTCTTTATCGACCAGAACCACCTCCAGGTGCTTACTACCATCCTCACGCTCATCCGGAGCAAAGCCGTGGCGCGAAAAGTCCACTAGTTTATGCTTCTTCGCCGCGACCACAAGCACCTCTTACACCGAAAATGAACAAGGTCACCGTGCCACCGCCACACCCGAAATTGTCTCCTAAATTGAGTAATATGGGCACGCCGGGACACAAGGGTGGCTCTATCACGCACGGTACTCCCGTTTCCAGTACTCGTTACGACGGTCTTCTTCGACAAATGACGCCTCCAGGAAATCCTGGTAGTGCTGCTGGCACCTCGAATGTTCCCAGCGGCGCGAGCGCCGTCAATGCCCCCAGCAATCAAGGACCTAAAGAAACAGGTTCCATAACTCAAGGTACACCAGTTCATCCCTTCGCAGTGGACAAGCGTGCGCCTATGTATGACTATCATAGAACTATCAGGCACTCACCCGTGACAACGGGTAACATTCCTGGACAGGGCCAAAGTCAAGCAGGAACCGCGGCGGTAGTAGTGACTCATAGTAATCAGTATAATTCCTATTCCGCCCGGCCGCCGCCTAGCTACACGATGGAACAACAGTTATCCTCGCGACAGATCATCATGAACGACTACATAACCAGTCAACAGATGCATGCGCGTAGTCGAAATAGTGGCACGTCGGAAGGTGGTAGTAAGAACGAATCGCCGTCAACACTGTATTACACGAGCACACCTCCTCCGCAGTCGCACACGCAACCTCGACAGGGAGTTATTCAAAGGCATAATCCTCAGAAACAGATTCACTACCCACCTCCACCACCGGGATTGGAAGCCTTTTCAAGTTTAGTGGACGTAGCCGTGCAACAACCCAGTCTTCCAGTTCCCCATCCGCACAGCCATCCCGCCTCCGTTAGCAGCAGTCACGAGGGTCTTGGCAAGACCATGGCAGACAGGCTACTGGCCGATCGCTATGGAGATAAGCATCGTTTGGCTATGCATCAGGCGGATCATAGAATGGCGGTGGCGCATCATCATCAACGAGATAGGGAAAGAGAACGTGATTTAGTTCATCTGCGTGAGAAAGAAGAGTACCGGTTGCAACGGGAGAAAGAAATGCAGCAGCAGGAACATAGAATGGCTCAGCAGAGAGAAAAGGACGCGCAACATGCCGAGCATAGATTGTCGATGCAGCAAAGAGAAAAGGATATACAACACCCCGATCACCGCCTTACCGTCCATCAGCAGAGAGAGAAGGAAATTCATCAGCAAATGGCTGCGGCCGCTGCTCAGCGAGAGAAAGAACATCAGGAGCATCGATTGGCCGTGCAACAACAGCGAGAAAGGGACATGCATTTGCAACAGCAACAGCAACAACAGCAGCAGCTTCATCAACATATTCAACAGCAACAAAGAATGGAGGCCGAAAGAAGGCATATGGCTCAGTTGTACAGAGATCAGCAACAACAACAGCTCGATAGGGACTCTAGCAGGTTAATGAGTAGTGGGTTCACTCAGTCCTCGAGGCTTCAGCAACCACAACAATCACAACAGCAACAACAACAACAGCAGCAGTCTTCGTCTCGGCAAAGTCAGTCCTCCAATCAACAACAAAATGAATCAGCATCTACATTAACCGCCGCCAGTCTAATAGATGCTATCATAACTCATCAAATTAATCAGAGCGTTGAAAACACTGGTGCAAATTCGCAATCTCAACGACCAAGCGATCGTCTTTTCCAGGTACGTTCCTTTTGCGTTCCTCTATTTATCGGTCCTCCATACTGGGATGCATTTTTTACGATAGATAATATTTCAGGGATTCCACCGAGAAGCCCCAGCAGAACCTAATGGAATGGCTCATAGTCCTGCTGGCGAAGGTAACGGAGGTAACAGCGGAACGGGTGGCGCCAGCGGTAATGGAAGTGGAAGCAAACCCATTACTCTTGGCGAGCACGTAGATCACATTGTTTCCAAGGATTACGGTCCTCCGCATTCTTCCTATAGATCGTATAGCGGGTGAGTCCCGAGTAAAATGCGCTTTACACCATTGGTCCAGAACCTGAAGGACAACGTTGAAATTTTTCTGACGAAACATTCCTGATTCGATTAGGTACCAAATCTCGGAAGATCAGTGGAAAAGGCGAAAAGCCAACGAGTCTGATTCCGTTAAAGCTGGAGACGAGCGTCAAATAATCCGCGTGACGCAACAACAGTCGCAGCAACAGCAACAACAGCAACAACAGCAGCAACACCAGCAGGCAGCATCCTCGGTAGGGAAGCAACAATTCCATTCGGTCGAGCCTGTATCGCCCCCGGAAGCAGGTACCAATCATTACGGACGTCGCTTGTATGAAACAACCACTGCCACTTCGACTTCTGGAACCCCTTCCAACAAGCCTCATCTTTCGCCGTTGGATTACGTGAAGAACAAAATCGTCGAAGTAATGCGTACATCCGAGGACGATAAAGGTGGCAACACGGGCGATAGGAACGGAGGGAACGTTGCTAGCGGAGAAAAGGACGAGAAGATCGGAGGAAATATCGAGAGTCCTTCCGGTGCAGAGATGATGGTCGACGGGACACCGAATCAAACTCCGCAACCACCTGCGCCAGCTCCTACAACTACATTCTATCCGTTTAGCGCATTAGGAGTGCATACCGGTCCTCCGCCGGCACCACCGCCCCCAACTTCCGGTTCCGCTTCCGTGACTAAGTCCGAACAAATGCAGGCTGAGCCGGCGCCGTTGCTTTCTGCTCAGTACGAACCACTTTCTGACGAGGATTGATAGTCTAATAATTTAGCTACGTACAGATTGACACGCTGTGACAAGTTTCTTAAGATATTTATGCACTTTGTTTATCTCGACAAGAGTCTCACACAGACAACGATAAACGATTGAACGTTTCACGATTAGCAATGTTTGTCGGGCGTTAGCCGTCGCGTTCTTACTGATCGTCAGGTTTTGATCGCATTGAGGAGATTCATTTCGTTTCATTTCATTTCATTTTGTATCATTTCATTTCATTTCATTCTATTTCATTTCATATCATTTCGTATCATTTCG